CATGGCCCAGATTTGCAGCATTTGGCCTGGATTTCAGCCATTCAGACAATGCTGAACAGCGTGAATGGGTTTTACAGTCTGAATAGCCTCATACAGCAGCTTATGGTTTTGCCCAATTTGGTATGGGGCCATTGGGACTTTAGTGAATAACCATTATAATAATACTGCAATAATTAACAACAATAAACTATAATAATAAAATAATATAGTTACCTAATATAAAGCACTGTTGGGATCTTTACAGTCAGTGGAGTGTGCTGTGTTATATGTATGTACATAACATGCAACTTATTATTATTATTATTATTATTATTATTATTATTTTTATTATTATTATTGGCATTTATATATTGTCAACTTATTCCACTGCACTTTACATTATTATAAAGGGGGACATTTAATAATAAATGAGACAATAACAAAATGTTACAAGAACAAATGTTTGATGAGGACCCTGCTTAATTAAGGACCAAACTTCTGGAATAAAAGGGAATCATGACATGTCACACATGTCATGTGTCCTTAAGGGGTTAAACAAGCTTACAATCTACAAGTTGCAGTTACGACTTCAACCCTAACACGCATTTTACTTGTATGCATGTGTGATCAAAGCATTTATTAGTATTCGTGAGTCATTTCTCAATATGTACATGCAACACAGCACCTGAACATGATCCTCATTCCCTGGGTCATTTTGCTACATATTCCAGTAACCTGTGTCATTTTGGTTTCCTGTCTGATGCTGTACACTACGTTCCCTTAATATTTGCCAATTCATTTATGTCAAATCTGAGCACAACCTCATGTGTCTTTCATGCAACATCAGGCATGTGCATTTAGCAGTAAAACAACATAAAATAATTGTTTAGCAGATATACCCACAATGACAGCATGCATGCATTTAATTATGCAATATTTTATTGGGTTATATCTACAATAAAATGTATTGAATATTGAAAAAGCTGCAGATCTCTTGTCTGAAGCCTCTGCAAGCCCTCTAGGCTTTCTGTGGCTGTCCTATAAGATGCTTCCCAATGCAGCTCAATGAGAAGTCTTTGAAAGGCAGGTGCTCTTGGCAAATGCTCCACTGAGCTAACCAAACCAGGAAGTAACAAGACTGGTTATCTGATTGACAGCAATGGAGGACAGGCTAGGGGAACAATTTTGTATTGATATCATCACTATTTGTAAAATAAAAAAAGAGAATACCCTCTTCCCACATAAAGCATTTCAGGAAGAAATAAGAAAATGCTAAAATGAATATTTTGCAAAGTAAAGAAAAATTCCTACAACACAAAGGTTTATGGATTACAACACAAATGTACAAGACAGTGATATATTATCTAAGAATAGAAGCACTAATTGATGGACTCTCCCAATAACATTTTATCATATCCTAGTAACCCTGTTCCAACAGAGTTAAAAGGTCTTAGTACACTGAAACATGTTTGCATATCCATGTCAATCACGGAATATCAGAGATCTATTTCAACTTATATACAGCAAAGACTGAATTGAGTCAATCTGTTTCCTGTTGAACTGCCAGATATTTTAGCAATATATTTTCCCAGCAGACATACCCATTAATAACATTTTAAATTGATACACGTGCTGTGGGCTCCGTGGTTCACTGGTTACTTGTTGAAAAAGGACAATCATTTTATAAGCTAACTGGAATTGGCTTTCTGAAATTAATGTTTCCCCATAGTATGCAAGCAAACTCCTCCCTTTCAATATAATAGTTTGGGGAGACTTCTATTTCTTTCGTATTTCTAAAGTCCATTTTTTATGATGAATGAAGGAATGTGATTAGCATGCTTGCCTCTATCTCTGCTGAGTTGAACCTCATCTAAATCCTATTTACAGGATGTGAAAAGCCATGTGGGCTGTTCTGATTATCAGCCATGCTTACGTGTCCACTAAATTCATCTTTAGCTGAATCTGAATTCTTCGAATTATTCATCCTATACTTATAGTTCTGCATTGATTCAGAGGAAGTAAAAAAAAATCCCATTGCAACCAATTATGCCAATTATGTAGGACAGAGGTACACATTTGTCTTTTGCTCTAGTAAATAGTAATCAGTTCAGATCAATACAATAGTCTATCTTTTTTCTAATCAATAAATTATCCTCTCAATAGGTTCGTTGTGTGCATTTTTTGGTGATACATTTCCTGTATGCCAAATATGTGCATCCTCAATTGCAAAAATCCAGATTGATGCATTTCTATTCATTTGAATCAGTCTTACAAAACAAAATGAGATCCTAAATTTAGTTGGACAGTTATCTCCAAGGAAAGGACCAGAGCAAGATGAATAAAATAGACCTGGGTGTTTCAAAGTACCTATTCTATCAGCAAACGTTACAGTAATTGTCACAGGAAGTCTTTTGAGACTGTTGTTGCTACCGAAGACATTCTCTTTTAGCATTGTAGTTTAACATTAAATGCTTATATTGCAAAATTTGCATATATTTTAATATTCTGATTGTTGTAGGCACACTTCTTCACGTTTTGATAGACAAACAACTGATGGATCAGCGGTTGGTGGCCAACTGGAAGATGTAATAGAAATAGGCAGCAACCTAAAAGTATGGGGTTCCCTCAAAACCTGTCAAAAAGAAATGGTATATAATAAAACAAAAGTTAGGTCACAGTAAAAATAAACAGAATAATATAATATTATACAGATGATTTAAAAATGTAAACATATATACTTACATTAAGAAGCCAAATACAAATGTATTACAGTCCAGACTATAAAATGAATATAAATAGAGAGTCCAACTTCTTGAGGTACTTAAATGAAGTGTATATTTGTGGGAGTCTTGAGGTAGTTCAAACGTCTTGGTCCGGTTTTAAAATGCATAGGGAAAAAATTCAAATAGTGTAGTATGTAACAGGCACGCAATGGGGACTTCAAAATCAGTAGTATTACTACTCACCTATATGAGAGATAGTACAAGCTCAGGTGCAACTGACTTTCAGTGGCGTGAATCCCCCACTGGTAAAATATATAAGGTGGTTATTGATAAGTTTCTTGGAATGTAGGTGTCCCGGCAAGGAGAAAGGAATAAAATAGAAATAGTGCTCACTGTATAAAAATATGTATAAAAAGTATGCTATAAAAGGTCTTTTACTCACATTTAAGTGAGCAGGATATACTGCTTACTTTTGGTAGCTTAGGTGGTATAATCCCCACCTGGGATTCTTTAGCGAGTGGATCTTCAATATTCTTAGTGACCAGGTTAAAAATAATAAAAGGGTAAAAAGTAAAAAAGGTATATGGCACAAGAGGAATTTAAAAGGCCAATATTCCTTTACTATTACACAATAACATTTTTAACCCCTTGAGGACCGATGACGGTTCAGGACCATCATCGGAAACATCCCCTTGAGGACCGATGACGGTCCTGAACCATCAGAATGGTCTTGGGGTACTTACCTGATCACCGTCGGTCCTCCAACGGTA